TCTAAATAAGAAGATATTAAAGTTGGAAATGCAGAAGATGATATGTAGAAGAGAGAAAGACACAAGGACCTTTTAGATTATGCACAACAAGCAACTTATTCTCATACGGCTACTCACTAAATTAAATGTGTTTAGTGCATAAGTACAGAGAATTCCAACTGTGGAGAAATATCAGTCACCATTTGTAAGACATACGCTCATTAGAAAATTTTAATAATGTATTAGCGAGGTAGTCCATTTTATCTCCTACATTAAATGTAATGTGCATAGGTTAGATTAGCACATTAGACTCACATTTAATGAGTAGGGAAATGGATGAGTGCCAATGGTCAACTTTAGAGTTAACAAGCTGAACAATTCAAAAAATTTCATAAATTAAAACATTATTATTTTCTGCAAGATTATTTATGTTTTAATGGGGTTATATAAACCCAGTTTATAAAATAACATTTTGCATGAAGTATTACAACGCTGCGGTTACTTAGACTATTTACTAAGTTTATTAGTTTTGATATTTGACAAAAATTATATAGTAATATATTAATACTACTAAGTATACGATAAGGAAATTTCATGTGAATATTAGCAGAGTTGTTCACAAAAGTGAGAATTGCTAAGAAGTCAAAGTAAATTTAAAATTCAAGACCAAAGTACCTAAGCGGCAAGCATAGGTGACAGAGAATGTTTCCAGTTCAGCTACTACGGCCTTAAATGTGACATTCATTAAAAATTCGCTTTGAAATCCCCGCAATTCTCACTTTAGTGAATAACCCTGTAAATCTTATGTCTGAATAGGTGGATTGGAAAAAATATCAATAAACAGTGATGTTTTTTAAATGGCCATGCATCTGCAAATTTCAACCATACACAGGAGAATAAGCAGCGTGTGGGCAGTGCTGATTGGTGGGCAAACATACACAGAATTCAATAGTATCACCTGGGCAATTTAGACATCTACCCAGCCAATAAGTAGTGACAACTGTTATTTATAAATGGCATGATTAGCCTGAGATTAATCCAGACATTTTAATGAGTTGCCCCCAAATAAGTTCCTGAGCCAAGCCACCAGTTTTTGACCCAAGATTCTAGTCTGTAACCGCAAAACTGAGATGGAAATTGACAAATTGAGTTCTGAATATCTCTTTATCTCCTCATTGCTAATTATTACAGACATGAGAGCATTGTTCCGTTAATAAATTAAAATAATATGCACTACAGATTTTTAATTTTTAAACATCAATCATCCAGTAAGTATATTTGTGAATTGTTTTCCATTGCCCTAGCAGCAAGGCAGTACACATTTTGATGGGTCTAGATCTATTTTAGCTCAATTCCAACTTCCCAGTGAGAAACAATGAAATAAAAATGTCATTTATATGTTAGGTCTCTGTGTTTTGGTTTAAGCCACGGCATTGTGTGTGTTTGTTTTTTTACAGTAAATGATAAATAATTCAACTTCTATTCATATGTAAGAGGCAATGGACCTGTTGCTATTGTCCACCTAAGCCAACACTGCAGCCTGTAAGCAAGATAGTAACCATGGGAAAATAAAAAATCACCTTTTTGTTTCTGACTTTCAATCTAAAATGTAAATGTGGCTGTCCATATAAACGGCTGGGTACTGTGATAATAAATGCTGAAGAAAAATGTCTAAATCACACTACCAACTTTCTCACAAATAAAATAATAATATGGCCATTTAACTGAGATTGTTGGTGACGGAGGAAGCGCAAGGAGTAAGTAGATGAAGAATGATGCTTTTTCTCAATTGTATGTGATAGTAGTTGAAAACAGGGAGCTGTTGACAAATAAATGGTGCTAAATTCATGATGTATACAGACCAATATAGCAGTTATATGTCCAAGGCTACAAAACCAGTAAAAAAATTATTTAACTTTTAAAACAGCTTCCCTGGTGGTGATCTTGTAAAAAAATAATAGCTGAACAGAAAAGAGGGAAACAACTGTATATCTGTAATATACATTTAACAAAACATAATATAGCACTGTATCATAGAGTATGAAAATGTTCTTAAGTAAATTGCACTCACTGACGTGTTATAGAAATTGTGCCTCAAACAAAGTTTCCTTGGGGAGGGGAAGGGGGACGAGACCTCCTGCTTTCTCCTTGTAACACAAGACAGGAACCAGATCTCAGAATACGGGTCCATAGTATAAATTAGTTCTTGATTTAAAAAAAAACACAACAATAAATTAAATTAAATAAAACAACCAAAAAGGTCCTATGCGTTTCATTCCTGGATGGAACTTCTTCAGGGACTGAAATTATGAAACATTAAAATAAAAATGAACAAAATGCCATAAAAAAACATAACAGCCTATCGAACCCCACAAAGTTCCTCCCTTAAAACGGGCTAATCCCTAAGGTCCACAGGTGATCGGAGAGGCTCTGTTTCAATGGTTCAATGGATTGAGGACTCCAATAAAGTTGGAAACCAATAGTACCTTAGAATCAGTTTCCTCCTGTTGTTTACTATTGCAATCGATCTACAGCTTAATTTTCTCATCCGGTTGTCATCTTGGTCGGCATTGATTCCACCAGCTCATGTGATGAATACATCTTTCGGATCTGGTTCACAACGCACTTCCGTTTGTTCTAAAGTTAAACAGGAGTCCATGTGGAAACATAAAGCTAACGAAGGAGTCCGGGCTAAACACCCAATGTTCATGCAATCAAAGGTTCTAAGACTTGAAATCTGCTTGAATAAAAGTTCTATCATTATCACAAATAAATAACATGTAATACATAATCTAAAATGAAACTATATACATAGGTTCAAATCCTGGTAGAAAGTAGCTTAACAGTTAGAACTCTTAAAAGGGATTTTGTAATCTATGTTTTATCCCTAATTTTCCACTTTTAGTGGGGGGTTTTAACATCTGAACATGAAAATGAATGGCATCAAGCCTAATTTAATGTGTCATGTTTGTCTTGTGGAACATTACTTAATTTATATATATATATATATATATATATATATATAGATATATATATATATATATACGAAATGTCCTTGCACTCAGGCTAAATATTATTTTAAAGTGCCGGGTGCCAAACCTTGAGGCTTTTGAATCCCAGTGAAAGCATAAATGTTGGCTCCACTCACGGTCTTCAATAGAAAAGTTCCTTTATTCAAACATGATAATCCTTAAATTGACATTTCAGTCCTCTCAGGGACTTTCCTCAGGATCAAGATATATACATATATATATATATATATATATATATATATAAAGTGTACTATCAATGTGAAAGTGTATCGATCCATTAATGATTCGACACAATGAGATTACCTCTTTTATTATGTGGAACATATCAAATAATTAATATATCCTCCACCTGTCTATATCAGTTGCACAACTGATCAATAAGATTTTATTTTTATATTTTGCCTCAATACCTGGTATTCACTTGTGATGTCTCATATATCTCTGGTTTATCTCTGAGAAGAATTCTTTAGAAAATCCTCTGAACCATTGGGTAGGCACTTCAGAATTTCCATCCAAATTAGTCACTCACCCAAACATAGCAGCATGATATATATATATATATATATATATATATAAATAACCCAAAAATACCACCACTCTACTTCACATTTGATGGCATGGGTGCATTCCTCTAGTGTTATATAAAGTGTTGTGACTGAATATGTGCACTCTCACACCTTCAAAACTTTAAATCAACGTGCTGTTTTAATATTATATATTGGAAATATTTAATTCAACACGGTCAGTGTTTTAACTATTACATTAAACACACAATTGTATTTCAACACATTTTAGCATGTTAGCTGGTTTCAACGTGTAGCAACATGTATCATTTCCATAGTAACACTCAACAGTCGTACACACGTCACTTTTGGACATTGTCCGGTAATCTGTTGTTCTGAACACACAGAAAACATGGCGGGTCTTTTATTGATGAGTGTTATTTTCTAATTTCCTATATAAAGCACATTGCACACATACAGATTGACTGATAAAGTAAAGACCCAGGTGGAGCCAAATGATTCACAGCTGATGTAACCTACAATTGACTTTATATAGAACGTTGATTTAAGTCCTGAGAGTCCGTCTATTCATTCACAACAGTTCTGTAATGAAATGTTAAAACAAGATTTTGGGGATTTTAATGTTTTATTTAGTGGTTTAAATTGCAGAGAAGAGACAGTTCCATTTAAAAAAAATACTTGGTTTTATTTGAATCAGAATATTTGTTTAAACCAATTATTTTTTTTCTTTTCCTAATGAAATGCCTTTTTTATGGACACAGTTACCTAGGCCTAGAGTTAGGTATTTATACTGTAGACCATAAATATCTCATCAAGAAATGATGATTATGCAATCTTACAGTTTAGTCTGGAATAACATGTTCAAGTAATATAAACAATTAATGGAATGTAATTCTCAGGAAGCAAGGTGTGGATGACAGAAATATTGCCACACTTGGGTGGCATTACCATTTACTTGTCTTTTGTTTGTTTTGATATTATGACTCACATTAACTAGAGTGCAATATGACAGCAATGAAAAGATTATATATTGGTCTTTTAATTGGTTTAAAATGTGTCAGTTTAGTCATTATAGGATGGGATTTCTTTAACCCTTTGTCATGAGTGGGTAAACGGCAGTAACATAGTTTCTTATTATAGAAAACAAAAACATAAAACTGATTTTAACGGGGGCGGGGCCGGACCGCCAAGCAGAGTAGACGCATGGTACTCTAGCTCCTGCTGTTACCTGGCAATTTGGTCCCAAAACGCAATTTCTGGTGCTGAAACACGGCAGGCAACTGCACTATGAGGTGCTAGCACTGGAGATCAGTCAGTGACCTGATTCTTGGCCCCTTTTGGGGAGAAAACGGAGCTCCGTGACCGAAGCCTAGTCAGGCCTACCCAGGTGGTGAGTAGGGTGGAGGGCCGCCGCCCTGCTATCCTGCCTGGTTGCAGCATGGGGGTCCTCTAACGCAATGGGGTGATGGCCCTGCTTCCCCCCCTCTGGGCCGGTGGGGGTCATCCCGGCCTACCCTGGGGCCCTACCCTGATCGGAGACCTCACTTATCACCTAAGATGGCGGCTGAGCCTGACCGGCACGCTGTGGAGCGGCCCCCCCCTCAGGGCTCTTGGCACTCACTACGGGCAACTCAGGGAGACATCGTATGAGCAACTTACCTATCCTGAGACCCGGCCTGGGGTGCTACCAATCGACACTGAGGACCTAGTGCTGAAACCATCTAACTGGCAAAGCGGCTCCAACAGTAATCAGGCTGCAAGCTGGTGTGATCCCACGATGCCAAACTACACGCACGATAGCCGTGGATCACTACGAAGACCCTGCACATACCCAGCTCCCAAACGGCTGATAATACCTGACAAGCCACACCACAGCATCAGGGAATTATTCACAGATGGAGCCGAGAAACAAAGAATTGTAACCTGCCAGCTCCCTGCATGAAGACTGGGGCTGCCTACATCCTGACTCCTGAACAGCAACATTCAGGCTCCTGTTCACCTTTCCACAGAGAAGAGAGACTCTGTCTGGGGACCCAGGGTTCTTTAATCACTGTGGCATGATTTCCTCAGTCCTTTTATGCAAACACTAGCCATGCCATACTGCCTTGCATATTTGTCTTTCTCACCTAACCTACTGCAATCTATGACTTCACTTTCTTTTTCTTTTTTTTCTTTCATTTCCTTTTCTGATGCCTGCTGTCAAGTGCAGACTCAGTATTAGTACCCTGACAGATAAGCGAGACTAGCCTGCAAAGGCTTGTATGTTAGTCACTGTTTATAATGAGCTCACTAACTTAGTTAATACAACCAAATGGATTGAACAAACTATGTATATGCCTTAATAATCTTAACCTTGCTTGTTAATCTTGGTACCGTGCAAACATATACTAAGCGAGATCTTTATCGTTACTTGTTCTATATCTGCGTCTATCTTTACTCCTGTGACTCCTACTTAAACAAGCATGACTAGCCTGTGTATTGATATACTTAAAAACTGTGCCACTTTCTCATGCCATATAAATGCTCTACATTGTTATCACTGTTTGCTTATGCTGTTGTGGCATCGTGAACCTCTGTATTATCCTGTGCACAGCAAAAAATAAAGAATTAAAAAAAAACAAAAAACTGATTTTAACAATTATAGTAAATAATATGGGAGCTGCATATCTTCAATGGCAGGAAAATACAAACCAAGCAACTAATGTTTTCTCTCTATTGGTTACCTAGTCTCACTTTATCTTGGAACCAAATGACACAAACTATTTTTGTTTGTATTAATTGATTTGGCCAAACCTATTTTTTTTCTGCAGTGTTTAAGTCTTGTAGATATACTTACCTAAAGATCTCAATCACCAGTGGCCACCTTCAGCAAACAGGTAAAGGGACATGAATCACTTAAAGACAGTTGCCTCACTATGCAGGCCAAAAAAAACCCAAACAGATAAACATTTATACTTGCTTCTTCTTTCTTATGCTTTTCAAACCCACTCCAGTGGGAATCTGATTTAGCCAATCAGTGTCCTAATCCACGGAATGCTTGAAAAGCGCATTGGGCATGCGGTTGGAAGATTTCTTCACCTTGGCACATCCTTACAGGGGAAGAAGAGAGGGAGTCTAATCAGTGTGATGCAGAGCTGGCTCTAGTGTTCGGTTTCTCTCTCCTGCAGTTGTACAATGATGCCCTGTTTCTGTAGATAATGGAATGGTCTGAAATTGAGATGGGTGGGTAAAAGAAAGGAGGTGAGGCTGAAAAACTTCCTTAGCTTAGAGGATTGCCTAATAATGCAATGTGACCAGGTTTATACTACGTTTATACATGTTTAATACATACTTTTCAATGTTTTGCTTGCTTTATTTTGGCTTCTATATTTGTTTAAAATGGCTCTGTCACCTAAAGTAATTTTTATCCTCTTGTTTCCTCTTTTCTTCCTCTTTCAGAAGCTGTTCTTTTCTTCATTTTTGATCTATTTTTCTTTAAAATGCAAGACATAGAAGGGACTACTGTATTTTTTCTACATTTGATGTCCTTGACAAAGGACGGAGCTTAAACATACAACAGTGTATTCCTGACCCTATAGTGTAAAAACCACCATTTAGTTGGCTGCCCCAGTGCTGTATTCTGGTTTTGTGCTGCCCTAGGCATGACAAAATTCAAGCAGCTCCCCGCCCCCTCCTAAATTTCACTTCTTGTTAAAAACCAACATGCACTTTGTCTAACAGACACAAGCCTTTACTGATGCATACACTGACATACACTCACTGAGAGATACACAGTCATTGTAACACACACTGTTTAACCAACACACACTTTCACTGAAACATACACACTCACTGACAGACAGACATGCACACTCACATTCACCGACAGACACATACATTCACCAACAGACACACTAGCTGACACACACATTCACTGACAGATACACATACACACTCACTGACAAGACACATACACACTCACTGACAGACACACACTCACTCAATGTCAGAAACACACACTGTGACAAAAATATACTCACTGACGGACACACACTGACAAACACACATACTCACTAACAGACACATACATTCAGTGTCAGACACACGCATTCGCTAACAGACATTCAGATTGACTGACAGATACACACTCTCAGTGACAGACACGCATACACACACTAACAGACATACACACTCTCACTGACACACACACTTTGACAGACACACACTCTCACTAACAGACACACACACTCTCACTAACAGACACACACAGCATCACTAACAGACACACTAACAAACACACACACTAACACACTCACAATTTTATTTTATTATATGCTTACATTTTGGTTGATTTCTTCCCTGGGGTCCAGTGGGGCTGGCAGGGCAATGCAGGTGGTCTGGCAGGTGCACAGTTCAGGCAGGCGGCAAGGGAGCTCTGATCCTCCTGCTCAGCTCCCTTGTGTGCCTCTTAGTGATGCCAGAGCTGGAGTGACATCATATTCCGGTTCCAGCATCACTATAGTGCGCGCGAGGGAGCTGAGCAGGGAAGAGCTCAGGGGAGAATGCTCCCTCACCGCCCGCCTCCCTCATCAGCAGTAGCCTGCCTCGGGGGGGCCCAAAGGTGGTCAGCCAGCCAGCTCCTGGACCCTCTAGGACAAGAGGCTGACATTGCATGTGCCGGGGCATTTGGGGGCAGCAAAAAAAGTACACCGCTGAGCTGCCCCTCCCCCTTGTCTGTGGCAAAACGCTAGCTTGGTCCATCAGCATCTCCTCATAGAAATGCATTGAATATCTGGATCTCTATGGGGAAAGTTCAGCGTCTCCACTGTGCATCTGTGATCATTTTAGATCATTTTAGATCATTCAGTACTGTGGCTGACCTGTGTGCATACGTTTGATAAGGAAGTCTTTTTCTGGAGTGAGTGTGTGTGTGTGACTAAGGAGGCAGGCCTATAGTACAGCATCCTGCAAAACATTTATTTATTGTATGCAAAAATGATCAATATTTGAGCCTGTATAAAAATACAGCATATTAATGAGTATTTGCGTTTGTATTACACAGTGCTGCCGTCCACTCCATATGTACCCTATTAAGGATTAATGATTGTGTACGGGTTTATAAAAATACCCCTCTCCATCTTATTCCAGATTTTGCCTTTTAACTGAATGCAGCAAGGTGAAATGTTAGTGTAGGACTCACCTAAGAGGGTCTGCCTTGACGTGGCAGGTGGGCTTACACTTAAATGACCATTGGCGTGATACTAAAAAATCTCTAATTATTTAAATGTGCATAAGGATTAGGGATTTGGGATAGTGGACAGGTATCCTTTATTTTATATTTTTTGTATTGTGGAAAATAGTTACCCAAAAATGTGATACCATAATTGTGAGAGGTTTCTTTGAACACAGATATTTAAGAACCAATGACGATCTATGTCTTCATAACAGTCTGTTCTTATTCTATTTAAAACTTGAATAGCCCATTCAATTAGAGACTGCTAGGCTGCATGTAGCTGCCTTGTATAAATACGCAGGTCATTCCATTCTCTTGTAAGTTCTCTAGAGACTAGACTTTGATGTTTACAAAGTATAACATTTGGTCCTTACGGGAAGATGCACCATTCATCTCTTCCAGATACTGCGTACGATCATGATCTACAAACATTAGTACAGATGACTCCTTACTTACATTATTAGTTAATATAATCCAACAATAGGGGAGCATTAGGGTAAAACTATATTTCACACTTGCTTCTAGTAGGTCATTCCATATTTTGAAATCTGATATATCACTTGATTTATTTCCATTTGTTTTTACAGTACAGTGTGGCTATTTTTGCTTAGTAATATTGTTGTATCTCCTTGGTGTGCTTCAGAACAGTTTTTTAAATTTTTTTATTTCTTTCACTATATCTGAAATATTATAATTTCCTCTGTTCCATCCCAGGTACCATCAAATAATAGCATAAAATGCTTCACATGCTTTTTAGATTGCTTTTGAAACTCAAAAACACCATTAGACTTGAATACAAAGCGTATGTTGTTAATCCCTTAAGAACTAACGTCAAGCAATGGAAATGACAGTAGAAGTAAATTTAAGAAACATGAAACAAACTACAGCACATATTGTACACCAAATAGTATAGGTTAATGCCATCACTGTTCTTCTGTAATATAATGGCCATCGTAGAATTTTCTGTACAACTGTCATTGTCAGTAGTCAATAAAGCTGAACCAAATTATCATTTCATGTTAAAAACATGGATCTAAAAAGCAATACAGCGTTTTAATTTCCAATGGTCAATTGTAGGCATACAATTAATATAGCTGTAGGCTTTTTATTTATTTTTTCCTGCGTGGATGCCTTTTTAATAATGTACAATAAAGTTAAATTTTATTGAAGAACATTGTTGCCATTGACTGATGACATACTGTGTATGGTAGTTTTAATGCACTTTCTTTTACTCGCTTTGAATAACACAGACCTTCCACACGCCAGCTGCTAGTTTATTCATATGTGAGTGAATTAGAGTGTGCAGCCAATTGACTGTGGGGAAATGTTTATTGAACGCTTACAATGGTATATATCTTTTGTTGGTTTGTTGAACAGCCTTCCAGCAGTACAAGCAGGGATTCTTGATAGAAATCTAAGCCTGCCTACATAAAACAAATTGAAAAAACGGCATAGCGGGTCTGATGTTTTACAGCAGGTTGGATGAGGATGGCTTAGGTAGTCCTTTATCTTAACTGCTTCCATATTTGTTTGGATATTGGAGAGCCTTGGAGGAGCTGACAGCCTACATTTATACATATTAAACAAACCTGAGGTCTACCAGTACTTGTAAATGACCTAGCTAGCCTGCTGTTAGAGTCATAGAGGAGGCATGGTATCCTCAGGCTATTTGCTTTCCTGCAAAATGACTGACTGCTGATTTCTATTTTTTTCTCAGTAAGAAATATAACACAGAATTTATTTAAAATATCAACCTACACTAGACAAGCAATGACTATAGCAGGGGTGGTGAGTATTTCAAAATGAGCTGTTTTTGCCTAAAATCTAGTTTCAGCTGACAACAATCCCCATAGTTTTCCCCATACTGATGTGTCTTTTGGTACTGTTGACATAAGACTTTGCTGCAACAGTTAAAGTACTTGAAGCTGTTGGGCTTCGTTATTTTTTCTAAACCATACTTTTGTATTGGTAATATTCAAGATGTACAGATTCCCCCTGGAATAATAAGGAAGGGGGGACATGACTCCTGCCCAAGATTGTGGCATGGAGCAGGGAAGATACAATGTTGCTAATGTTGGGGGTTCTTAAGGAAAGGGAGAGGGAGGGGACTAGTCGGCAGGATCAGTTGAGGACACCTGACTGTTTTCTTAGCTGACTGTCCCCTGTAATTCAGAAAAGAAAATTATTATTATTATTATTATTATTATTATTAATAAAAAGATCACCTAAATGGCGAATCTACCCTGAGCCTGTGCATCTTGCTGTTATGGCTGCCCCAGCTGCTGACTTGCAGAGGCTTCTGCAAGCTTACCTCGAGGCCCACGGTCGAGGGGCCCTGGATGAATTAATGTTGGGGGTGAGGAGCGTGGCCCAGGAGGAAGGAGTGGCGTCCGGTCAGCCTGGGGCATCTGGCGAACGGAGGGCCAGGAGATCGAGGCCTCCGTCGCGCCTTTCCCCAAGCCCGGTCTCGCAGCGGGAGCGGAGACATAGTGGCAGCTCGGCAGCGCACCTGGAGCGGCCATCGGTCCCCGGGAGGCGATGGACTCAGGCCGCTGAGGGTGTCCGGGCCGAAGATGCGGCTGCGGCAATGGCGGAGGTGAGGCCGGAAAATCATGCAGCCCGCGCTCTTCTCTTCCGGCCCAAACGGATGTGACATCAGTGCGCACGCAACACAGCATGCGCATGCCGGATAAAAATGTCAGGACCCAAGGCCTTGCGTTTCACCGTGCGTTCCACGGTGATTACGCCAGTGCTGGAGACGGCAGCCAGCAGTGGACCAGGAGGCTGACCGCAGGTCCCCCCATACCTCGGCAGGGTCCAGTTCTGGATCGGAGGAGGAGGCGTCCCAGCATCCTCAGGCAGCCACAGGTGAGTGTTGCGCCAGTGCTTGGAATGCGCTGGTGGGAGACAGGGGTAGTAGTGGGTTTGGGGGTTGAGGAGGTGCTGGGGTTGCTTAGGGCAGTCTTAGAGAGGCTCCCAGGCCCAGCTGCTAGCGCCCTCCCTTCCCAGTCTGGGGATCAGAGTATGCATGTGGGGGTGCATTCTGGGGGGGTGCTTGCCGGGTTGCGAGTTGTCCCCCCTTGGTATGCATGTGGTGTTAGAGGTTAAGGAGAAGATCATAAAAGGTGAGTACGTAGACGTACCGTCCCTGGTCCCTCCGGACCGGGAATCAGTGGATAGACCGCAATGGGGGGAGGCAGCAGATGGCGAGAAGGGCAAGCAGCTGCCGCGTACGTTTGGGAACTGGCTTCAAGGGTTCTCAATATTTGCCTGAGAAGGCACCAGCCTTGTTTGGATACTTAGACCTTATATGGGGGGCGTACAAGGTTTATGGGGGTCAATGTTGGTTCCGCTATGACCAACAATTTCGCCAGAAGATGGCGGTGTGTCCGGGTATGGACTTTGGGGTACAGGATGGGAGCCTTTGGCTCTTGTTGATGACCACCAGTCGTCCGTCCCCCTTTCCTAGAGCCAGCTGGGCAGCGCAGGGGCGTCTGTTGGCTCTACAATGAGAGCCATTGCAAGTGGTTTGGATCGTGTCGATTCAGACACAAGTGCTATCATTGTGGAGGGGCCCACCCTGCCCTGCTTCAAGAAGGGTAAGCAAGGTGGGAGGCCCTCTAGGGGGGAGGACTCCAGTGAGCATCCTAAGGATGCTCCCTTGGCTCGACAAGTACCCCAAGCGTAAGGATGCAGAGGTCCTACTGGAGGGGTTTTCGGTAGGGTTTTGGATTCCGTTTGTTCATTCGGATTCCCCTTCATTAGCGGACAATCTGCATTCGGTAGTGGGTAAAGAAGGGATATTAGAGGGGAAGTTGATAAAGGAAGTTCATTTGGGCAGGATGGCCGGCCCATTTGATACGCCGCCATTTCCCAATTTGCGGGTATCCTCGCTGGGGTTGGTCCCTAAGAAGGAGCCTGGATCCTTTCGTCTCATTCACCACCTGTCCTACCCGTCAGGCGGGTCGGTGAATGATGACATTGACAGGGAGGTGTCGCACGTTCGCTATCCCTCCTTTGATCGGGCTCTGGAGTTGGTCTGGGAGGCAGGGAGGGGAGCTCAGTTGGCCAAGTCGGACATCGAGTCCGCCTTCCGACTGCTCCCGGTCCACCCGGACTGTTTTCACCTATTGGGTTGCCAGTTTCAGGGTTCCTTTTTCATTGAAATGTGTTTGCCAATGGCTGCGCTATCTCCTGTTCTTATTTTGAGATGTTCGCGTCATTTTTGGAATGGGTGGTGTGGCGAAACTGACCTCGCCACTGGGCATTGGAGAAGACTGATTGCCAGCCTCCTGCCATGTGACTATGGCCCCTGGGATGTATTACCCTTTAAAGACATTATTTGGGCATATTGTATTTTATTATGCTGCTGCTGGCCCTTTAAGAACCATCTGGGGACATACTGTGGAGTTACTGGGTGGCCACCATTTCATGTTTCAGAGGCACGTGTTGAGAACAATGGATGGAGCACATGGTGAGAACAATGGATGGCGGCCATTTTAACTCACAGACACTGTTTGGACTTTTCTACACGGTGCCATCTAGCCAGTATTTGGTGCACGAAGACATCGTTCAGTAGTTTTAAACTATACAGGGGACACATTATACAGTTATTATTTTTCATATAGCCTGTATATGTTCTGCAGAATCTGCATTAAACTGCATCTTCCAAACTACTGAACGGATCTGGCTGAATTTTGGATATGTGGTTCACCCAGATCCCCTGGTTCCGATGATATATTTTTTTATGGGATTATTGCATGTTTTGGGGTCCCTGTGATATGTTTTATAATACTGTATTTCTCTGCCTGTGATAATTAGATTAACCATTGTGTTCAGTAATCATATCACAGGCAGAGGGGAGGATTTTGTGTGGGAGTGTCTGTGTGTAATGTACATGTGTTATTGGTTGTTCTGTAAAACCCTGTGGGCAGTACTAAGTTTGTGGAATGGGAATAAAAGAGGCTGTATGTGCCGGTACAGTCAGTTCTGCTTGACCTCAAAACGAAGTGTCGTCTCGTTATTGGGGGAATTGGATTGTATGCTGATTGCTAGGAGTGTAAGCTGATTGTATGCTTTTCCTGTTCAGCTGTTTACAGCATTCATATGCTTGAGAGCATTCGTATGCTTCTCCGGTTCGGTGGTTGTGGTGTCTGCTGCAGTGCTTGGAGTCCTCAGGAAACGCTAGGAGCATCCTTCAACGGAGGTACCCAGTCGGTGCCAGGTGATCCATTACAGGTGGTTGCTCGGGTTTCCGGGTTAGCGTCGCTAACTCACTATTTAGATGATTTCTTGTTTGTGGGCCCACGGGAGTCGGATGACTGCGTGGGGCTCTTAGATTCATTTAGAGCCGTTGTGTCGGAGTTTGGTGTGCCTGTAGTGGGGGAAAAGATGGTTGGGCCAGTGGGGGTTCTGTCCTACCTGGGTATTGAAGTGGACTCACGGAGTATGGTTTTCCGGTTGCCGTAAGAGAAACTGACTCACCTGCTGTGTCTGGTGGATTCAGTAAAAGGAGCGAAAAAGGTACAGCTCCGGCAGTTACAGGCATTGCTAGGGAATCTGAACTTTGCCTGTTGGGTGCTACAGATGGGCAGGGCTTTTTGCCGGCGCCTTTCATTAGCGACGGTCCGAGTCAAACAGCCGTTTCACTTCATTCGGATCACCCACAGACATCGAGAGGATCTGCAAGTTTGGAGCTCATTCTTGTGTAGGTACAACGGTCAATCTTGCTGGCTGCGCCCGGCGGTGTCCAATATGGATTTGGAGTTGTACACCGACTCGTCCGGGGCAGTGGGCTTTGGGGCCTACTTTCAAGAACGATGGTGCGCGGAGGCCTGGCCCCGCCACTAGCTGGAGACCGAATTGGGAGGTAACCTGGAGCTCTTTCCCATTGTCGTGGTGGGTGAACTATGGGGTTCAGAACTGGCGAACCGGAAGGTGGTGGTGCACACGGACAACATGACTGTTGTCCATGTGATCAACCGGTCTTCGTCTTTATAAGACTTTGCTGCAACAGTTAAGTACTTGAAGCTGTTGGGCTTCGTTATTTTTTTTCAACCATACTTTTGTATTGGTAATATTCAAGATGTACTGGCTCAGATGTGATTGTGAGTCATGGGACCTTTATCCAGCTGCCAGAGGATAACATATAACATTGCTGTGGCTATTGTCTTTGAACATGGTATTAATTAATCATGGTACCTTTAATGCATAAACTTTATGGGGGTGAACTAAACTGTCGAGCAGTTCAGACTGTGTCTTGGAGAATATTTAATCATAAGGATCTCCTTGGGGGCTGGTTTGTGAGGTCAGAGGATCTCCCTTATCCACCCCTGAATTATTTTGCAGAGCATGAGCAGATGAAGGGAGCAAGATGAATGTAACTTGCCATCGAAGACCTCTTTTATTTTGTCTTCATATTATCACATGCTCTCTTATTCACATTATAGAATGAGCAGTGATGGAGGTATTCTGTGCAAAGAGAGCTTTCTCTCCCCACAATTGACCTTAATAGATTAAACAAAGCTAGACTTTTACATTGTCAGACAGGGCAGGCAATCAAAAAGTGGGTTTAGAATTTGTTTCTGGGTAACATAGAGGAGTGTGAAGAAGTAAAGAATAAAGGAGAAGGAAAAAATAGGGTTAAATATAAAAAAAAGTATAAATAGAGAGCATATAAAGGGAAATAAAATGTACTTATTTATTACTTTTAATTCAAAAATTTGCAAAGAGAGATTCCAAAATATTTTTCTATAGAATTAGTAAACCACCTTTTATACTGTTCTATGTGTGGGTGCTCCTTTTTTCGAAATGCATGTTTATAATGTTAATATAAGATAGTACAGTTCTGAACTGGTGTGTTAAGCAAGAGTAAAGTAAAACAAATAAACAAATACACAAAAAAAACTACATTTATTTCTTATTGTTTATTTCAAAGCAAAACAAAGATAAGAATAGTGCAGTATGTAATGAACTTCAAAATCCCTAATGCTGTATCTCGCGTAGGTCAGTGATTCGCAAACTAACATTAAAGGATCACCAACAGTGCAGGTTTGAAGAATTACCCAGTTCAAATATACATCTCCACAAAGCCTGGAGGATATATTCTTTCCTATGGATCAGTATCTTTCTAAAGTAATTGTAATTAGGGAAGAACTGACACAAAAAGGTATACAAGAATGTATGAAAAAAAAAAAATACATTTTGTCATTTGTGACTTATAAAATTCTTTCATTCTTTTTATTTTTCCAGATATTTTCAGTTGTATGCCGTATACTTTGATCATAAAGAAACTGTATTCACAGAGATGCATCTATGATATTATCATACAAAAATGGAGGGGCTAACTTACACCACCTAACGCGAAGCTGTTACAACAACATGGAACATTACATTTTTTCATACAGTGATCTACATGTGATTGTGAGATGCATTGTTACTGATTTTCCCTCGTAATGTTTGCTTTTAATATCCTATGTTTTATGCTACTTTTTAAACATGCAATCCAGACGGAAAGATTAAATTACGAAGTGGTCGGAAGTCCTATCTTCTGTTTATCTCTGGATGTGCTAGAATTTTAAGATTTGGTATCTTTGAAACACAATGTTTACATTTTAGTTTAAATGAGAAATCTAACAGCAAGCAGTGACCCAC